CAACGAATACAGAGGAGTCTTGGAGGGCAACAACCAAGAGCTTTCTGCAGTAGAGCTGTCTGGCGGTGCTCGTATCTCTTTCGTCTACCACGAATTGTACGCCAACGGTGTCAAGGCCGTCGATCCTTTCGACCAGGTCAAAGACATGGACATTAGGACGGTTCTCTACAACTCCTCCGGATCATCGCCAGCGCTGTTCGTCGGTACTACTGCTTTCGAGCTCATTGTCAAACAACAAATTAAGCGACTAGAGGAACCCAGCTTGAAGTGTGTCAGCCTCGTCTACGATGAGCTGATCCGAATTCTCAGCCAGCTTCTCAACAAGAACGCTTTCCGAAGATACCCGGGCTTAAAGGAGAAGCTACACCAGGTCGTCGTCAGCTTTTTCAAAAAGGCTATGGAGCCCACTAACAAGCTCGTAAGGGACCTTGTTGCTATGGAGTCTGTCTACATCAACACTGGTCACCCTGACTTCATCAATGGTTCACGCGCCATGGCCATCGTACACGAGCGACACAACAGCAGCAGGCCTCAACAAGTGGATCCCAAGACTGGAAAGCCTCTTCCACCTAGCGTGCCGCCGCGGTCGATATCTCCCTCGCTTGATCCTAACGAGGGTGGTGGCTTCTTTGGTTCCTTCTTCGCAAGCAAGAACAAGAAGAAGATGGCGGCTATGGAGCCACCACCACCTACACTCAAGGCCTCTGGTACCCTCTCCGAGAAGGAGTCACAAGAAGTCGAAGTTATTAGTAAGTCGCCTCTAGCGTTGATGTCGGACATTGACTAACGATGTACAGAACTACTGATTACCTCCTACTTCAACATTGTTCGTCGGACAATGATCGACATGGTACCCAAGGCCATCATGTTGAACCTCGTTCAATGGACCAAGGAAAACATGCAGGGCGAGCTTCTAACCAACATGTACAAGACGGACGAGCTCGATGAGCTACTGAAGGAGTCAGAGTACACTGTCAAGAGGCGGAAGGATTGCCAGCAGATGGTGGAGAGCCTTTCCAAGGCACAAGAGATCGTCAACCAAGTGCAGTAGAAGGATGCGTGTCTGGGAGGATCTTGCGGCTAGACTTCCAAGGTTGTGTTCTCTGGGTCTGGCATCCTGTCAAGACATGCAAGGTGTTTTGGGTGCAGCTTGCTAGATTTTGGTCTTGAGCCTGTTCATATTATCGTTGATGCATGCAATGTATGTCAGCAAGTGGAATTCGTGATTGCTCTATACTCGCTGTGATGCTACTAGCCATGGCGACGGCGCGGGCGTAGCAGTCGCCTGCGGAGCATGCACGGACCACCGAGCATCTCGAAAAGTCGCAGTGCACTCGAAGGCCCGCCTCTCCAGCAACTGAGCGGCCATGCTGCTCCCACGGATATTCGCGCCCGTCCGCGCATCATTGGCAACATCTACGACATTCATCGCGCCATCTACACGTGTTCTCGACGCCCTCCGCGTGGCCAATGGCACCTCGGCGCCCACCCCGGTTCTCTCCTTCGTCAGGCACTCAGCGCATCAGGCCCAAGGACGAGCCAACGGAGCAAAAGATGGACCTGGTAAACGTTTAGGAGCAAAGAAGAGCGGAGGTATGTCCACAGTTCGAAGAAGTAGTTAAGAGCCTGGCTAACGGCATTGTAGGAGAGTATGTCATCCCAGGAAACATCATCTTCCGACAACGAGGAACGGCCTGGTTTCCCGGCGAGAACTGCAAATTCGGCCGCGACCACTGCATCTTCGCTACAGAGTCTGGTTACGTACGATACTACCGTGACCCGAAGAAACACCCCAAGAGGCAATACATTGGTGTCGCCCTCGAGAAAGACCACACCCTTCCATACCCACCAAATGCAGCGAGACGGAGACGCTTAAATATGCTCGCCGTCCCTATCACTACATCAACGAATCCTTCTGCGGACGCAGTCGTCATAACCGATTTACAAGTTGGCGACGGCACAGGCAGCCCGAGCAGCGTGCGCGATACCCCGCGCGAAGCGACACGCAAGGGATTGAGCTTGACCGCTGGCAAGGGATACGCGTACCGTGAGGCCAACTGGCAGATCGGACGTGCGGCCGAGAAGGCGGGTGTGCAGGTCAAGGAGTTTGTGCCGGGTGACCGATGGACGGCCTGGAGGAAGAGGAGCACAAGGATCCAGGCGAACATAGAGAGGAAGAGGCTCCGGAATGCTGGCAAGAAAGCTAGCAAACCGAAAGCGAGGAAGGCCAGGGCCTAATCAACGAGACGACATACTGCGGGTTGTATGAATATATGTGTAAACTGAAGATATACAGCCTTTGACTGGCGATTTACGAACACAAGAAGCGCGTATGTGAACAAACGCTGAAAAGTGGAGAATTTGACATGACTATAATCTGGCAGAGTCCTTCCATACCAAGCCCCCTTGGTCCTCGACATAATGCCTACCCTTAGTCCATCCCATCCATGTGGTCAATGTATCTTCGCCCCCGCTGCCAGGCTTCAAGCCCTTCTCGCTCCATCCACTGCCATCCATTCCTATACCCTGGCCCTCTGCTGCCGACCTCCCATCATGACCGTCGTGTATCGCATATCCAGGTGAGGACTTAAGTGTTACAGCCGGCCGTTGATCGAAGCCCTGGGTCTCGAGTTCACCCTGCGTCAGCACGGGCGTGCAGCATGCATCTGTGCCGTCGAAGATGGCCTCCCATTCCTCGCGCGTTTTCTTCTTGAACTCGGCGGCGAAGAAGTCCTTCAACTTTGGCCAGTCCACCCTGTCGTCCCTATTACCAGGTAGATCCGACGGCTCCAGGCCCATGCCCTTGAGTAAAGCGGCGTAGAACTGGGGTTCAATAGCGCCCACTGCCATGTACTTTCCATCCTTTGTCTCATACGTATCGTAGAATGGCGCTCCACCATCTAGCATATTCGTGCCCCTCTCCCTCTTCCAGACCTCTGTCTTCAATCCCAACCTCGGCATTGTCGCCAATATCGCACTCCCGTCAACCATGTTTGCCTCGACAACCTGTCCGTAGCCGCTTCTTTCTCTCGCCAGCAGCGCAAGTAATATACCAATGAAGCACATTGCGCCGCCTCCCGCGAAATCTCCCACGACATTACCCGGCGCATACGGTTTTTCCCCTTTCCTGCCAAACATGCTCAACACGCCGGATACAGCAATGTAGTTGATATCGTGCCCGGCCATTTGACTGTATTTGCCATCCCGACGGAAGCCCGTCATGCGAGCTACGATCAATCGCTTGTTCAACTTCAACAGCACCTGTTCAGGGTCGAGACCGGCTTTCTCGAGGACGCCAGGTCGGAAGGGATCGATTACCACGTCGACTTGAGGGATGATCTTCTTGATGAGGGCGAGGCCCGCGGGCGATTTGAGGTTCACGCATATCGAGGTTTTGCGCCGCGTTAATTGATCGGAGGATGGGGCTGAGGGTGCGCGGTCGAGGCGGAGGACAGTGGCGCCGTAGTCTGCTAGGAGCATGCCCGCGAAGGGGCCTGAAGACTGTTAGATAGAGCCTAGGGATTACTTTGCGAAGGGAGTTTGAGGTTACCTGGGGCTAGTCCTGCAAACTCGAGGACGCGTACGTCTGCGAGTGGAGGTGGTTGGTTTGCGGACGGCATGACGAGGTAGCTGGAGGTAGTCTACTACTTGGGACGATTGAAAGGATGCGCGTGAAGAGAGAAAAACGCGAGCTTAGTAGTAAACATGCTCGACGTCGACATTGTTGGCCGTCGCGCCGGCTAAGGACTCCCGCGGGGAAGCATGCTCTGGAAGCCGAGGTGCGGATGTGGAGAGCTTGAAAGCTGGGGTAGTAGCTTCATCTTTCGCGTTTGGTCTGTTTGTCTTCACACGCGACCATAACGACGAGTCGATCTATCCCTCACTCTAAATCTCTCAGAACATGTCTGATGAGGTATGACATGTCATCCAATAATATATCATGGCGCGCTTCGCCCCGCTCTTCCAAGGTGCTATGATTGCTAGCATTAGGCACCAGCGCGCGTATGCCTACGTGAGCGGCTCTTCAAGGATCAATAACTCTGCAGAAGTCGCGGAGCTGTTCTTTCAAACGCTGGACGAGCGTGGCTTCCTTCCAAGATTTACCCGTGCTCGAACACATCATGCCTCCCCAGTTGAGAGCGCGAACGTCTCGCGTCAAACCTCAATCTTACGCTCTTTTTTCCAATTCCTCTTCCAGTCAAAGTCACCTCCTCATGTCTGAATCAACCGCACAATCGGCAAGCAATACACCTTCAATCTACACCATCAACCTTTCACTACCGCCACGCGAACGCTATGTGTTGGTCGCCACCGAATACGCCCATGTTCTGCGCAAGATGCCGTGTCTCTACGATGAAGCAGTTCAGCACTTGAAGTTGCCTACTGGGACTTTTCATCTCTTAGGCCGTCTGTTCTTGCGTCGTCTTCACAGCGACGAACAGACTGAGGAACTCAGGGGCATTAGCGAAGCATCTGGCGTGCCAATGTACTTACTCGTCGCTTATAATGTCTTCCTGGACCTTCTCATGGGCTGCACGAGCGGCGGAGTCATGGTCAAGGATCCCGAAGCCGAGACAACGATGATGCATTTCCGAACGCTAGATTGGTCTATGCCTCTCCTGAGACAAGCAATTGTGCAATTCGACTTCATCGAGGGTGTGGGTGGCGGAGTGATAGCGAGCACAATTGGCTACGTTGGTTTCGTGGGTGCACTTACAGGTGTAAGGAAGGGATTGAGTGTCTCACTCAACTTTCGACCTTATCACAACGCCCGGGGAATTTCAGGACCTAACATCAAATATTACTGGAACACTCTCATGGTGCTTCTGGGGAAGAGACCGAGCATCTCCACCCTCATACGCGATTGCCTTCTACCTAGGTCAAGCGCACCTCGCAGACGGCACAGGCTCTCTAAGAAGTCTTTACAAGAACGAAGAGATCCGTCATCTGCACTAATTCCGCCATACAATGCATCTGACGCACCCAACAACATCGCAACTATGCAGACATCAGTGGCGTATTTGATCTTCTGTACCAGCGCAGAGACTATCATCCTGGAGAAAGACTTCCACAGCGCAAGGATCTTACGCTCATCAACCTTTATCAGTACCACTAATCACGACGTATCGTTAGAGTCTACAGCCAATCCGCACGCCAACCAGAACCAGGCCGTCCATACTCAGGGCCGGAATCACAGCTTCCTCAATGCCGGTATGCAAGAAGTACTCGAAGAAAGCGTCATGCGAAAACAGTGTCTAGAGCGAAAATGGCGAGAATGGACCCAGGAGCAAGGCCGTAAAGCGAAGCGAGGGCAAAATGCAGCAGTAGGCGTGAGTCCAGAGAAACTAATCAAATGGTTAAAACAGTACCCGGTGTGTAATGAGGTTACACACTTTGTCTGTGTCATGGATCCAGCAGAAGGGATGTTCAGATGGGTGCGGGCTTTTGAGGAGGGCGAGATTCCGTTTCAGGGTTGATATCAGGCTTGTTGGCTGTTCAGGTCACTTGTAAATAATAGCGCTTCTCGATCGAGAAGATGGGCTGTTCGCGTTTATCGTGTTGCTAGGAGTGCAGGCCTCGGCTCACGATGGATGCGGGAGCTAATACTAATGCGGTTTGCCACCGTTTACCTTCCCGTTCCTGATAGTTCTGCAGTTCTCTCAAACTTCAGACACCACCCACTTCCGCGACCTATTGAGTCATTAGTCGATTATGCCAAACTTCAGGTGGTTCTATTGAATGACCATTACGGTGATAGAGCACCGAAGATGCGACGCACGTCTAGATGGCAACGCACAAGAGATCCAGGACCGGCTGTTGGACTTGTAGGGGGGCTGGATATAAGTGTGACGAGGTGAAGCCTTTTTGTGGGCGTTGCACAAGACTAAATATCATCTGCAGAGGCTATGGAGTCAAGCTGAAATGGCAGGACGACGCCGCTAATACATTGGCAAAACCACCACGGAAGAGTCGGAAGAAGAAGGCTATCGACGATGACCAAGCACTCAGCCCAGCGTCGGCTATCAGCTTCGAATCCATACAATCGGTAGTTACGAGTCCAGATGTACTGTTCTCATCGCCTGACTCGGCGAAAAGTATGCCTGCTTTACCGTTCAACAGCCCTGTGCTGTCCTATGGGATGTCTCCAACCGATCGATGGCTCCTTAGTTATTGGGGAGAACAGCTCTCAAAGCTGCTATCAATTTCACCTCAAAATGGCATCGCGACACCATTCCAACGACATTTGACAGCCATGGCCTACGAATCGCCAGCACTTAGATCGACAGTCCTCTCAATGGCTGCAAATCACCTTGCATTTGTATCAAACGATGCTTCACTTCACCTACAAGGCTACCGTCATCAAAGAGATGCAATCCAAGAGCTTCAAAGCATGATTCAAGATCCAGTGACGATGGATACTGAGCCAGCGCTGGCCACAGTCATGATGATGCAGGTTTCGGCGCGATTGTTTGGCGATGAGGATGAAGCCAACGTCGCGAACCATCTCACTGGCGCCAAAGCCATGATAACAGGGCGCAGTGGGAGTAGCTGGCTTGTCACATCTAGTGCTCGCTTCCTTCTAAGCCTGTTTGCATACCACGATATTCTATCTTCCGTGTCAAGAGGCTCGCAGCCATTATTGGATCATGAAATGGACTTTGTCGCTATCGAAGGGGAGAAAGAGCTAGAAAGTATCGCAAAAGTCCTAGTGGTCGTTGCAAAGATCAGTCAGCTGCAACACGCTATCAAGACGAGGAGAGCGCTATCACCAACAAGCCTTGCTTTGTCGGAAGATGAAAATACCACTGGCCAACATATCCAGCAGATTCTATTAGCCATGGAATTTGGTGCATGTAAGAGGCGGAACAGCGAAGAGTGCATAGACATTAGCTCGACAGCTGAAGCTTATCGCCACGCCGCCTTCATTTACCTCTACCGAACCTGGCTTGATATAGGTGCTCCCAACCCGATAAGCATGGAGCATATCAATCAGTGTCTATCACAGCTACAGCAAGTCGACATCCATTCGCCTTTAACATCAGCGCATATGTGGCCGCTGTTCACCGCGGGCTGCGAAGCGATCGACAGCACACAACGACAATTCGTCCGTGATCGATTTGAAAAGCTGTATGCTGTAAAGCATTTCCCCAGCTTGAAACGCGTCATGCGCGATATCGAACATGTTTGGGCAGCCAAGGATATGGAGCAGCAGATGAAAGGCCAAGATGGAATGGCCAAGGTTGACTGCATCCAAGTCATCCTAAAAAGGAGGGGGCGGGAGGTCGATCTTGCGTGAGAGTTTGCCTAACGGACGTAGCTTGCTTTGCGCACAGACAGGTGGTTCTTACACGTCAGGCAACACTTGGATGGAGCAAGGCTCCGTTTGCGCTGGACGATATAAAAAATGGGATTCGGTGGCCTATGCTGCGTCCATTATACCTCCAACCAGCCAGACTACACTCGACCAGCCACAATGAATACCCCAACTTCCGTCTCTCACTTAGAGTCTCTACCCGCAGAGCTCTTCAACCGCGTTTTAAGCTATGTATTTAATCCTTGCGATTGTGAGATCGACTAGTCCGACACCGCGTTCGGCGGTTACCGCTTCGAAACTTCCCTTCTGCGCATCAGCAAGAGCATCCATGAGCTCGCGAAGAGCTATGTGCATCACATGCTGTCTTGGATACGTTTCGACATCAACTGGGGCGCTTTCGCAATTCAGCCACACTGGCTTGGTGTAAAATACATCAATATTCGTCATGTCAAAGCCGCCAAAACACTCCCGGACGGATATCTGAGCCTGAGCCTACGGCCCGTACCTCGGGAAGCTCCAGCTGGGCGTTTACACATCAAGATAGAGTTTCCACATGCCAGCGATGAAACCCAAGAGGGTGTTACACGCATGGTCAAGAGTGATGCAAACATCTCGATGTCCCTGCTAGTACTTGAGAAAGACCTACCTGGTTTCATGCAGGTACTTCGCATGAACGACCTAGCCTATTGTCACCGCAAATTCCCAGGAACTACAATCTCCAATGGTATACGTGCGCGTCCTGGTGTTCACGGTATGAAATCTGAGATCGTTGTCGCACATGGCCAACAGCTCGAGCGCTATCAACATCTAGTCTTAGAGTTTCACGTCATGTGGAATGTCCTCCACAAGACTACCATTACTGGACACGCAGATAGCCATCTTGCTAAGAAGTCTGCGGACTTTATACAGGGGCAGCATGAACATCAAGCGCGAGAGTCGGTCGGTTTCTCGAAAGCAGACATGAACGCTAAATTGCCTATCGAGCTCATGGGAGAAGGGATATCATCTCTCCTTTGGCTCAAACACCGGGGCGACGAGTATCTCACAAAAGGCTTATACGCAAATGCTTACATGTGCTACTCTAGCGCATGCACTCTTGAGGAATACTGGCTAAAAATGGCCCGGCCGCCTGCTAATTTCACCGTTTGGTCACTTGCCGGCTTCCTCTATGTCACCTTTGGAGTGACGCTCATGTTCAATATGGCGATCGCCAAGATGAAAGGGCGCTTGGACTTGGTTCTTAAACATCCTCGTGGCACATCAATGTTTGGATACTACGGTATGCTCGCTATTCTCAGCGGTGGCGGTGGACTTCTTGATGATCAACGCTATATGGAGCTGAGCATGGTAGCCATGATCTACGAAATGTTGACTGAGGACCTCAACCAGGGTGATCGATTATTCGATCTCGTTGGCAAAACTTGGGAGGATGACGACACAATCGATGATCTATCGCCAGATCTAGGTCTTCTGTACGACACTGTCAAGGAACTCGACGATGCAGAACCCACACTCGCTTCTGGCCCTAAGAGTCCTGATGGACTGAAGGCAGCAGTAGCAAGTGGCTTCGCAAATGTCGCGCCGCTGAAGTGGGCGGTCTCAGTTGACAACTTCCCGAATCCATTGCGAGAAGTCGTCCAGTTCTTGCCACGGGTTAGCTCTTGCCGGACAGTGCTGTGGAGAACCCTAGTGGATATAGCTTCCAGATCCCGGTGTACTGCCAGCCAACTGATGAGCAGCGCATCAATGGAGAGGACCACCCGAGGTATCTCGTGTAAGGAATGCTCAAGGACATTCGCGGTATTCTAGATGAAAGCCTTGTGTACAAGGTACATGTCGCTGTTGATATGACGTACAGGCAGGAGGCTTGAGCGTTCCAACCTAAAGTTATCCAACAAAGTTCATTGAGGTCTTCTGTGTCTAAAAGGTTGTGATTTCTCATCGTGCACTTTGGTTCGAAGCTGCCAAGGTAAGCCCTAGTCGCAGAACCACAAGAGATCATACCTAAGTATCTCGTGAATCGCCCACATGCGCGACGGCGGCGATGGCAGAATATACGCTTTGATCACTTGGAAGCTGACGAGATGCATCGACATAATAGCAGACTACACGTCAAAGATGTGCACGCCGGTAATAGCACGCGCCCGTGAGGCGCAATATTACGACGAGCGCGACAATTCGGTGGACTATCCTGCAGATGGCCATATAACTATAATCCGCAAGCTCGAACAAGCATTGCAAGCTCTCGGTCATTCGAGGTCTTATCTGCTCAAAAATCAAGATAATTATGGGTTGTGTATGTACCGCTCCTATGACACCGCCTGCGCAACCGAAAAAATGCGCAGCCAGCTCTAATGGATCGCTTGGTTCCTTCTCCGCAGCGCTATATCGCAATCACCCAATAGGAAATCTCGGGTCGCATCGATACAAGACGTAAAGATGCGGGTGAGATGGGTGTTGAACTGTCTGATGGTGCGTGAAGAAACAGAAGGGAGGCCGGGCAAATTTTCGATGTTATCGAGGATCTGCTTGGCGCGCTAGTCCAGGCATAGACTGGCGCCGACTGTCTTCCCGAGGGGTCTCCACTTAGGGCCCCTTCCCAGCCACTTTCAGACGCATACAGAAAGATCAGGTCTATGGTGAGCTTTGTGGCTTACCCCGCGATTGTAATCCTCGGCGATGGGGAGAAGAACGGCTGAGCTTCATACATCAAACGCCTGTCCGTCGACATGGACACGCAATCTACCCCCACAAGGAATGTGGCCAGCAGAGACGCAAGCATTGAATACATCAGCGACAACATCTTTCAATTGACACTCTCCCCAAAGAACAAAGCGGAGGTATTTGAGCCTGGCCTTTCCAAGCTCGACCAAGGTCAAGAGGAGGCCAGCCTCATTCTTCGAAATTTGACCACATGGTGTCCAGATGTCGCTGCTCAGTTTGCCCAACGCTCAACTACCACCATCCTGAAGACACCGTTCCGTCTGGTCTTTCCTTCAAACGCTCGGGGGGCTTTCGACAAAGACCTGTATCCACGACAGTATTTCGCGATCTCTTATTGCTGGCATTCAAGCGACTATCCAAACTCGAATTATGAACCGCACGATCGTTGGCCCTTCAGCAAACCCTTTGTAGATGCCATTCTGTGTGAGAAAGAGCACCCTCGCATAGGACTTTGGATTGATCAGCTATGCATTGACCAAGAAGACACTCTCGACAAGCAGATGTCTGTTGCCGCCATGGATGTGATTTATCGATCATGCATGCGTCTGCTGGTTCTGTTAGAAGACGTGAAACTTACTGAGGCGGAGACGTACCTCGTGGAGAACTTCGAAATCTCCAAAATACAGTGGCACAAGGCATGGCTACCTGAGCCGGAGGTTAGACCACTCTATTTGTCTTTCTACAAGAAGACCAACGCAGCGAGATGGGTACGTGAAGCTTCAAGAAAACGGAGATCCTGGGGCACACACTGACTTGCTCGTTCTTACCTTGTAGTGGGATCGTGCCTGGTGTTTCCATGAATTCAACGTCAACGAACCATGGAGCGACAAAAGGCAGCGATACAGGAATCACAACGCGACGTTCTTCATGAATGGACCGGGTGATTCTATAGTCAAGATGAAATGGGTGAATCTCCACGTCATCATGTCTACAGCGATAGACTTGCCGTCTCATGACAACGATATCAACCTAAACGCTTTCAAAGGCCGAGAGATATTCACGGGCTTTGCTAACCAAGGCGGACCTCCTACAGCGACCATGAAATCGAGTATTATGGCCTCGCATAACAGTGTAGCTCGAAAAGGCTGTCAGAATCTTGGAGACCGCATCAGCATCATGATAAACATCAGTGGGCGTGCCCTCGCATACTTCGGCGAAGCCTTGAACAACAAAGACGAGGTGCTATATTTCAGCGCACTTCTCGCTCTAGCGGCAGGAGAGACATACCCACTCAGTATGACGGACCCTACATCGATCAGACTGATGGGCAATAAGACGTGGCTTTCGCGAAGCCTCGGTACTGGCGATGCTATAATTCCAAAATTCCCCCTTGGAAGTGTGCAGGGCATCCGCCAGGTTTCGACCGAAGTCATCAAAATCGACATGATTTTTCTTCAAAGGCTCGGTATACCAACAGATCACAGCTTCGAGCTGGACGCTGTTGGCCAAGTTTTCCCTGGCACAATACCAACTACAGAGCCCGCAAAGTATGCCGCTGATGCAAGCAAATCGCATTTACCTGCCGCCCAGACGGACAGCGAATGCGACGAGCACCGACGAAGGTTCATCGCCACTTGTATCAGCAATGGTTTTCAGTTTACTGCCAATCTATGGGAGCAGCTAAAACGTGATGTTGTACACCCCAACTATAACCAAGGCATTTTCCGAGATCTGCAGCCAAACACTGCCCTCTATATACCAGCACAAAGATTTTTGGACCAACTACGACGATATGCAAGTCCAGAAACGTTGGAGAGTAATGCGTTTGACTTGGATGACGCCAGCATCTTCTTGACCTGGGTAACCGATCCTCGTTCAATGTACTACATTGGCTCTCTTTCATTCCGCTTGCAATGCACCATGGATGGGCGTCAGGCTCTCATGACTATCACGAGCATTAAGGAAGACTGGAAAGATGCTAAGTTTGAGGAGCTTCAAGCTGCAATCCCTACTGATTTGCTTAACGCGAGTTGCATGACGTCGAGGGTTTGGATTCTGCAACCATTGGAGATCGATGAAGGCGTTGTGTTGAGATGGAAAATTGTGGCAAAAGCGCTGCTGCTCGGTGAGCCAAATTTGATGGAGGAATTGAGACTGCATGGTAATCAAGACGATGCGGTGGTAGCGTTGAAGGCGGACACATGCGTGGGTGGTTAGGCATGCTATGGGCCTATATCCCGAGGTTGGTGCGTAGCGCAGGACACCGGACTTGCTGTTGCCGACCTTAGAAGTATTGCGAGCTCCATTGAGACCATCAATATACTCTCAGCGCCATCTTTACGGGCAGCTTACTTCGCTCCGGCGCACAACATGCTACATTCTTATTCAATGACTTGCTGTCGTTATTGGTCATGCTGTATCATGGCGGATGGACGAGCACAGCTGCACGTCCTTTCTTGCTTATTCACGAGCCTGACAGGTAACCTACATTACTAATTCCCGCACCCGGAAGCGCATCAATCGTCCATCCGAATTGTAACGTACACTATCACCCTACTCGACAATGAAGTTCGCTTCCACGGAGTTCGCCTTCGTGTCGCCTGCTTTTGAGTGGCTTGTTCGCTTGCTGCAGCCTTGGAAATGACGCCCCTCCTGTGCGATTGCCCTGCAGGTTCATGCTCTCGGCATCTCCTTCAGCTCCTCTGCCACTCCGCCCCAGTCTCGCTATCGATATGGCGCCGAAGCCCCAATGTCGATGACAAAAGTTTGCCGCCGCGCTCACTTATGCCTTGGGTATATATCAAGATATCGAGCTCTCTGTGAGGGCCACAATCACGGCCCGCAATCATCGCCATGGATCGCTCCACGAAACCAAGCTTCAACTTTGTGAACCTCACACACCCCGACGATCTCAAAAATGAAGAAACGCAACTGCGCATTCGACGTCTAGCTATGACTGAGGTCGGTAAAGCGAGAAGAAAACCCAAAACGAAGAGGGCGCGCAACGAAATCGTCCTTGAGTTTCGCAATCCGTCGGAGAGTCGCGTCGATATTGACCGGTTTGGTGGCGGTCAGCTTGATCCCTTTAACCCCTACCCCATCGAACTTGACGACTCTTGTCGAGCGCTACTAGCGAACAGTAGGCGCATTCACTCGTTTTGGTCAGACTCTTTCCTGACTTGGCGTAGTCTTTAGTACCGAAGACAGCAATCATCCTAGCCAGCTCCGTGGCTCCTGGTACCCCGTTGGACTTAGCGATGCGGCAGCCTTTAACAACATGCTTTCCAACTCACAAAACTTCTTGTTCCAGAGGCGCAACGGATATTACCCTTCAAAAGATGATGCCATAGCGTTGAAATATCACAACAAGGCGCTTCGCCACACCACCCAGATGATGAACGATCCGGCGAAGCGCACGAGTGATGAGGCTATAGGTGCTGTGGTTTCTTTCATGATCCATTTTGTAAGTCGCCCGTGTGAGGATAATGGCGGCAAGGCTGACAATCTTCAGGCTCTATTGGGGAACTTTACCAGCAGTGATTGGCAGAAACATAGTAACGCACTAGTCAGGATAGTGGGACTCAGGGGCGGATTTGATGCCATTGAGAAAGAGCACTTACGAGTTACGATCAGCTGGTCAGCATCTCCGGGTGAGCCCAAGGCTTGATAATTGCTGACGTCTGAATAGGGCAGACCTCATAGGAAGCTTCTATCAAGACCACCCTCCTATTGTACCAATGCCACGACAATGGATAGTGGACTCGAAATCTCCACCGAACTCCCCACGGACGTGTAACGGCATATCGTTAGTCTGGAAACAGCAGCTACCAATGCAGCTTGACTTTGTCACCATCTTTGATGATATAGTCCAATTGATCTCTCTTGATAGAGCTTTCAATGAGCAGCAGTTGATGCTTGCGATTACGAGCGGTAGCTGGCTAGAACCAACAATATACCGCCTCTTAGCTATTCGTCCCCTAAACCACGGTAACGCCAGAGAGAACGTAGTTGAAGAGGTTTGTCGACTTGGAACCCTACTCTTCTTGGCACCAGTTTGGAGAAGCTTTGGTCAATCACCAGTATGGACGGCGGCTATATCGCGCAATCTCCTCCTTGTACTCACGAAAAACATGGTCGAATGGAACGACTTGAAGCCTTTGCTCATCTGGGTGCTCTACGCCGCCGCAATCGAAACCAAGGATCTGGCAGAACGTAGCCAGTTCGTTTTCATGCTTGGCATCCTGATGAGTGGCATGCAGCTGCAGGCGTGGGATGATATTATGTTGATTGTGAAAAGCGTATTGTGGGTGGAAAAGGTTTTCGCAGGTACTGATGAGTTGATTCGCGACGAGGTTATGCAGATTGTCAACCACGATCCTATGAACATGTTCCCGGTTGAAACTACGCCGCCGCCAAGTTTCTTGGACGACCTTGCGGCGGAAACAGGATAGAGCTAGACTAGATCTGGTATGAAGACACCCTTGTTGCTGCAGCTACCAATAGTAAGACTCAGCATTGCTGGTTGACCTTGCTCTCTTACAGTCGTTGTATGTACAGTAAATGCCTACCACGACTGTAGGGAGCATACATAGAGTTGCCGTGAACGATCAATACTTACAGGTACCCTCTACCTAAGTATAGATTTGCATCTAGGGTGCTCTTGTGATTTGCATACGGCTATCCTGGCAGAATGGTCACCGGAGGCCCACGGAAGAAATTGCAGCTGACCAGAGACACACGCGCTGTCATGCCATCGCAGTCAAAAGTTCTGTTCTTTAGCCAGGGAGTACTCAAGTAAAATAATATGTATGTGCTGCATGACTCAAAGAATTACATCGTGCTGACAACTATCCGTACTCTTGCACAGTCTATGATCTAGGTGCCCTTCCGTTGTAATCCATTCCCGGCTCTGCTGTATAATTTGCGAAGCAGTCATAATTGAAGTCGATTTCTGCACTGCGTTTTTGGAGGAGCTCGACTACATGGTCGAAAGAGCAGAGACCGTTTGCATCAGCGGGACATCCTGGATGAGACTCGTTGATCGGCACAACGGCATCATTGCTAGTTGGCCAGGTTAGCTGGGTATCGAGTTTCGAAAGAAACGAGTATACTTACACGATGAATCGGATCTGCTTTGTTGGTTGCATGGCAGGGCAAGAAAGAACCTGAGTGGTGAAGTGGGTGGCAAACGGCACGAGCTTGCTAGCTACGAAGCTGTTCTGCCCTTCATTGCCGAGAGGACTCAGCGGTGGACCCTTGAACAAGGCTGTCAAGTTGAATGCAGTAAGTGTATCAAGAACGACAACTTCGTGCGTAGCATCGGCATAGATAGACTGGTCGAGCGGGAAGTACGTCGAGGAGTTGTCAAAAGTCTCGTTCAATGCGGAGTTAGCACCGGGATATTGATGGGTGAAGCGTGCGATGAATTCGTCTAGGAAGCCTTTGCCTTGGGCAGCAGAGACAGGAGATCCCGGACCGTTGTTGTAGTAGAAGGACAGATCGAAGTAATACTCGTAGTTCAGGAAGTCTTGTTCGTTGAAGAGGTTGCAGAAGGCGGAGTAGCCGAGAGCGTGCGTCTCATATGAACACAGTTGAAGCATAGCGATGGCATCGGTGGAAGTAAAGTTGATACCGCTAGCCTGCGACTGCAGACGAGCGAGAGTAGCGTTGAACGCATTGTTCGCGAACTGAGCTGCGACACGGCTACCGATACTGCCTCGGGTCGCGATGTTCGAGTTATTGCAGATCTCGTAGGGGGCGCCGGAGTTGTTCACACCTAGAGTCTCAACAAGCAACTCAATGTTGACCTCGTCCATGTACTCGGGTACACCAAAGAAACCGGCAGCGAAGTTTTCCGCAGTCTTCACCATCCGGTCTTGGGACTGTGTTCGGAAGACCGGAATGGTGCCCGCTTCAGTAAAGTTGTTCAAAAGATGGCCATACAATTGGCGGTACTCAATACCCAATAGGAAGTTCATGCTGCGGCCTGAAGGTGTGAGTAATTCGGCACCCAACTTGTACGTCCAGTCGCCTAGGAAAGAAAGCTCCCCAGAGACTGCAAGACCAGTTTTCGTAGCGTTCGCAATCTTTTGAGCAAAGGTAGCGGGTGCAGCGCCACTGGTTGGGTATCTAGCGCCGTGACGGTAGAGCAGATGCATCTGGGTGATGTCGCAGCCATCCGGAATCAGAGGACTGGCATCAGGAAGACCGTAGTCTGCGCTGCGAACCGAATACCATGGGCTCAAATTACCCCAGTATTTGGTGATGTCAAAGTTTGGAGACTGCGAGCCACTGCCGTGGGGCTGTGGCTTGATCAGAGGGTATGAAGATGCATCGCCATCGTTGTAAGGATACGACGGTGCTGTTTGGATGGCATTCGGCTCGGCGCCTGTGGGAGTCGCTGATGATTATTGCGTTAGTTTAAAGACCAGAGCTCAAGGAAATGTTGGTGACTTACGGCCAGGGAAGCCGACGACAGACTCTGGCGGGAAGAGTTCGGAGTTGACCTCGGCTATACAATCAACCCATCAGCATTCCGCTCTCTGCGCAGCTTCGATTAGACTTACTGCCAGCGGGAGGATACACATCTGCACTGCTTGCGCCTGCGTTCCCAGCTGCCGAAATTGTCGTGGTTGGTACAGCTCCAACCCTTGCAAGGAGGGCAAGCAGTGCGCCTTTACGGGCGGTATTGGTCGTGATGCGCATCTTAACAATCGCAGAAGCCTAGGTCTCTCAAAAGGTATGTATACCAAGGAAAACAAGCTCCGACAAGCCTCGATGCCCAGCAAGGTGGGTGTCCCAGAGACCCATCTTATAGTCCCCTAAGCCCTGCAACGGTGGAGAAAGGCGTTAGAGTTGGGCATTTCGCTACCGAAGGGATACACGCGGCTTGTAGTAAGCGTCGCGCAACCAATGGGATGCGGGATTATGAACACATGCGTTGACCAATACTTCGGCAGCAGGGATGCCTTCACTTCAATGACAGCACTGACGTCTGCGGGATGCAGATATCACGGTACCCAGGTACTCATGCGGTAAAGCATGTGTTGGTGCGGGGGACCTGTGCAGCTCCTAAGTCCTGGTCCACGATGACGGCGTTGGACTATGCTGCTTTAGGTGCCGCACAACGGCGTTCTTGTCCACCTTTGAGCACACCGATAGGGGCACGTGGCAGGCGGATTTATGGTGACGAAGGGCTCTTTGCAGCAAGATACGCGTTGAGGGAAAGTGTTCAGGCTACATTGATGCAGAGATAACTCGGCCAGAGTGTGTTCATCGGTTTCGTCATCACATGCGAGTCCAGTTCACTTCCAAGGTTACTTTTCGATGTTGATGAGAAAAGGCTGATTTTGCCATTACACGTCCACAGACTATTTATACATGGAATCGAGAAGCCCCCCGTTCTCGCCAGACGCAGAAAAACTCAAAACGCCATTGCCAATGCCGATGTATCGATGAGACGCAGCAAATTCAACACCGCCCAGAACGACTGATATGAAGACCCCGGTACCCACCCATAACCACGATCTCATCAGTCATTAATATGTGATCCATCAACGCCGAACACAAAGAAAGGAAGGTAGCATCCAAGTCGCGATACAGCGCGTGAGCAACGCGACAACGCCTTACAAGCAAGAAAGGAACAAGCGCTACAAGCTAAAAGACTCAAACTCACGTCTGTTCAACAAGACGGAGAAAAGAGAAAGGCATTAAGCGATAGGCCATCGAGTGCGCAATCCTTGTGTCCATTGCCCGTAGAGGATGTCGGCCAGTATCCCCTGCTGTTCCATACCAGGCTCGACGTAACCAGGCAGTTTCTTCTCGTCAAAGTAACCGTGGCCATCAGCACCGGAGCCCTTCTCGCCGACCACAAAAGCGCTCTGGCGGCGTTTGTGAGACTTGAGATGAGGGTTGTTCTTGGCCATTACGAGCTTTGGTCCCTTCAGCGGAGAGCCCGAGTTGGCGATTGGTGTGCCATTTCGTGTCGGTGTCGATATTGGAGTGTGGTCATACTCTTCTGAAGACTTGCTGACGGTCGACGTAGCTGCACTCGTAGTGCTCGAACGAACACGTGTTGTGCCGGTACCATGCACAGTTGTACCACCCAAGCTAGTATCGCTGGTTTTGGTGTTGTGCTTCGATGGTGATTGCACAGGCGAGACTTCTATGCCGAGAGCGTACGCAAGCTTTGTGTCGTTTTTGAGACGGTCCACCATGGCCTTCAATAACATGAATTCGCCGTGTGGGTCGATCTCGTCAAGATGTTGCCAGGCCTGCGCAACTCGTCCGATAGCGTCCCGTTGATGAGGCGATGCTGTGTCAGCATGTGCCTCTTGGAATACTGAGTCCAATACCTTGCTGTACGCTCGGCGACCGTATAACGCGTCTTTGGTGATTGGCATGTGTCCATCGGGAGCAGGTGGCTCGTTCTCGTTGTTCATGTCCAGCGGATGGTTAGACGTGGGAGGTGATGGGCGGAAGGTGCGCGCTTCGGGGTTCGGCTGGAAGGACTGGTTGTTCTGAGCAGGCGGGTTGCTAGGCGGGTTTGAGCGAAGCGCTGCACGACGTTCGCCCGACGAGACACGCTTGAAGTGTCGTACGGTGGAAGGCGAGTTTCCAAATGTCAGATCGACACCCAACGGTGACTTGTTGAGATTGCTGACGCGACGAGCGGTGGGTGTGTCGCCAGAAGGTACGCGGAAAGCCGTGGCTTGGGAAGTTCTCCGAGAAGATGGACGTCGTCGCGCTGGGAGTGGTGAATCGGTTATGTCACCCAAGGGTGCTGCGTTGAGGTCCATCCGTTGCATCATGGATTCGACTTCATCGTTGCCTGAGGAGGGTATGCGGGCCAGTTTGCGACGCTGTTTCAAAGTCTGGCGTGCTTGAACGGTCCCTCGCTTGACGGTATCAAAGTCCCAATCGTCTTCCTCGGCTCTAGGGGAGAGATCGACCCTGATAAACCTGTTAGCACACTGTATGGGGAGGTCCGGCAAATTACTAACATGGTCTCTTCATAGTACTTGGGATGCGATGCCGCTTGTTGTTCCCTTTGGGCGTCGTACATTTGCTTGCGCTCGACGAGCTCGCGCAATGCCTCGACCTTGCCCGCGCGTTGGACGAAGCGGTGTTTGAGGAGTTCCTTCGCAGTCGCACGTCGATCCGGATCCTTGATCAGACATTGTGCAATAAAGTCTTTAAAGTCTTTGCTCCATTCGTCGCCCTCCAGCCTTGGTGCTGGGTTCTTCGGAATTGTGAAGAGCACCTTCATGGGATGTGACCCAGCGTGTGGCGGTGCGCCCTCTGCCAACTCCATAGCGGTGATTCCGAGGGACCAGATGTCGGCTCTGAAATCATAGCCAGCCTCCTGGATGACCTCGGGCGCCATCCAGAAGGGTGTACCGACGAACGTCATGCGTTGCGACTTGATGTTTGTGAGTTGTGCGGCGACACC